TCAGTTTAAACTTTTTGGCCGTGAACCGGCGTTTGGTAGGGGGGCCAATAAATTTTTTGGGCCCCAAGAGATGGGGTTTTTACAGAAAAAATTTCAAAATACCTTGGACACTGTCGCGCGCCCAGGGGGGGAAAATTACACGGATATTTTGGGGGGGGGGGGTTTAAAACCTTAACAAGGCCCACCCAGTGAGAAACTGGACTATTACTAAGCTATGTTTGATCCTAAAACGGGCCCTGGATAGCCAAGAAAAAAAGCGAGGTGGCTGGGTTTCCATAAAAATGAAATTTGCCGGGATTTGGGATCCACAGGAAAAAAGGAAAAGGGGATAGTTAATACGGGAAAACCCCCACTGCGTAAAATTTCCAGGTGCCTTTTAAAACCCCTGCGACGGTCTCCTTTCCGGGCATTATTTAAAAAAGGCCCCCATCAAGTGTTTTTAAATTTTTGTTAGCTGAAGAAAAACTAAATGCACAAAGACACTTGAACCTAATTTACAAAATTTATTTAAACCTGTGTAACAAACAAAAAAAGGGATTTATTTAATAAACGAAATTTAAAATAAAAGAAACTGTTTAGGTATTTTAGAGTTGGGATGATGTTGATAAAATTTAAAGTTGTAAAAACTTAGTTTCACCCGGGGACAGTTCTCGGCTTGAGCCCGGGCCTTTTTTTTCCATTTGTCGTCCTCATTCTTTCGGCGGGTTTCGTTACCCCCCAAAAACGGCCCGGCAAATAAGGATCCCACTAGTCCCCCCCAAATTGGGGGAACTGGGGGAAGGGAAGAAACAAGCCCCCATATTTGAGTATTTTGCTCTAGATGTACACTAAGCAGGTATTTTTAAAAAAAACATAAAGTTTTTAAATTTAAATAAAACATTTCACCCTCCCCCTCATTGTTCACTTCACTCCTGTCCAATTTGGAAGGGCTTATTTCACATTCCAACTGTTACATTTTGCCTTCCTCTACACGTTGTAATGATGGGGTTAAATTTCCCCTACGTCAGGTGCCATCTCTCGTACAGACTAAAAATGAAAATCATTTTCAGAAAGAACCAGTTCTGGAATCTATGCTTGGAAAAAATCGACGCGCCAGAAGTAACAATATTTTTTGGGGCGAATCAAAAAAACAAATCTCGTGGATTTACTTTTCCGGGAATCCCCCGCTTTAGCCCGGAGATTTTAAAAAAAAATTTCAGTGTAAAAAGCTGTTTTTTAAAAAAGGGTTTAAAATTTAACCACACGTGAAAAAGATTCCCAAAAAGTTTCTTCACGCTTTTTGGTTTTAAAAAACATGTAGTTCTTTAAAAATTTCAATGGTAACAACAACTTTTGGGTTTTTAAAAAACATTAAAAACACGTGTGCACGAAAAAAATTCATGACACTATAAAAATAGGATTTAAGGAAAATGTGACATTTGCCCTAGGGAAGAATGAAGAAATTTTCCGCCTAGGAGTATA